CATGGAGTGCCAACCACCCCATAAACCTCCCACCACGCCCGGACCCTCTCAAGAAATCCCTCGGCACCAAGCCACACATTCTCGAATCTGAAAGGGGATCTTCTACTTTGCAATCCTCCACAATCCAACACCAACGGGATATGTTCAAAGATAGGATGTGCCAAAACAGCCTGAAGTACATCAGAAAACTTCTCCTCCTAATCTCCAGAAACGAGGAATTTGTCCAACCGAGAAAGAGTAGGAGGAGAGTGGCCACTGGACCAAGTAAAGGACCCTCCCTCCAAGGGCAAATCAATCAACCGAAAGTCGTCAATGAAACATGAGAAAAGTTCCATATCCAAAGTCCACCTACCCCCCGTCGATCTCTCAAAGGGAGAGCGGACAACATTGAAGTCCCCTCCAACACACCACGGCAACGACCATCTCCCACTAGCTGCCCCCAGCTCTTCTCAAAATAAATGACGCAAATTGTCCTCTGTAGGACCATAAACACCAGAAAAGACCCAATGGAAACCATCCTCCACCAAAGAGAGAACGGATGACGCTGAGAAACTCCCAACATGAGAGTCCACTTTAGAAACCCATCTACTATCCCACATAACAAGGATGCCTCCCGAGGAGCCTATAGCATTCAAAGCCAATGGGTCATGCCTCAGACTTCTCGAGGATTGCTAGATATCTGGAGGGGCCAATGGGTGGGGGCTCAAGCTAGAGACTTTTGGAGGGTGACCCCTCTTTGCGTTTGGTGGAGTCTTTGGAAAGAGCGGAACAGAAGATCTTTTGATGGGAAGGAGTCCTCTATTGGAGAGCTGAAATTTTCTATTATTTGTACCCTTTTTTGTTGGGGTTGGGGGAGGGATTATTCTTCTTTAGAGGACATTGTGGACTTTTTGGGTTCTTTGAGTTCATAGATTCTTTTTGTGTATATCTCGGGACGCGTTCCCCTTTTGAACGCTTTCTAATACATTTTACTTATCAAAAAAAAAAAAGCATTCAAAGCTAACCACTCCACACGTTTCCCACTCCAAAGGCTTCTAACAATCAAATCTGACATTGTGGCAATCTTGGTTTCTTGCAAACACACCACATGACAACCCCACTTCCAGACAACTGACTTCACCACTTTTCTTTTATCCGAGTCATTGGGACCCTGAACATTCCATGATAAGATTTGCAGCTTCATAGGGAAACAATTAAGTTTTCCTTCCCTCCACCCCTCTCCCTTGACCCCTTATTCCTCCATTCATAAGTAACATAAGAAATGGGAGTCTGCTCCTCCCTCTCACCTTTCTCTGAAGGAAATCCTCCCCTGCATCCCACATCATTGTTGTGTTGAAAATTGAGAACATCATGAAACATACTCATCACCTCACCCATCTTTCCTTCAAAAGTCACTCCCAAGAAAGCACCCACCTCCACATCCTAGTCCCTCACCCACACCTCCTCCATGCCTTCAAGTCCCTCAACGGCAACACCTCCCACACACTCCCCCTCCGGTCCCATAGCAACCAACGGATCAACCAAACCTTCATCCGGCTCAACTTCTTCCCACGGAACTATTCACATCTCCCCATCCAAAGGGTCCCGTGGTTTTCCCCTTTATAGGGTTTTACACCTAAAAAGTTGCCTCTACTCTCTATTTACTTTCTTTATCATTGTGTTTATGATTGAAACACGTTCATAACTAAATCAAGCTAAACTTGAACAAAGTAAAACTGAAAGTCGAAAAATTAGTTATTCATAACTAAGTATCCACAAAACAAACTCACACTCCCTCTAGGTCTACATTGACTCTTTTTTTTTTTTAATAAGAAAAATTGTATTAAAGAGCGTTCAAGTGGGGAACACATCCCGCAAAAGCTACGCAAGGACCGAATAGGGCCCCTATACTCTCAGTATGTCCAAAAAATCAACTCTCTCCCCCATGGATTTACAATTCCTCCCAACAACCCAACAAAAAAAGAGAACTAATAATAAAGAATTTCAACACCCCAATAGGAGTCTCCTCTCCATCAAAGGATCTCCTATTACGTTGCCACCATAAGCACCACCAAACACACAAGGGCGCCACCCTCCGAAAGTCACAGGCTTGGGAATGCACTGTATAACCTCTCCAAGCCTCTACTGAGACATAAAGCATTGGACCCCATCTACATCCAATTATTCATACACTAACGTACCATAGACTAGGGTATCAGTCTATTCCCCTCACCAACCTTAAATAGTTAGAACGAGATTTTGTTTGGTTGACTTCAGTTGAGTTGGTCCAACTCAAACACTTTCAACATTCAATATGTAATGTTGATGTATGTGAAAGAAAGAAACTAGCAACAAGTTGCCAGGATGCAATTGAGGATGTTATCTAAGCTTTAGGTAATGCTCAGAGTTACTTGTATATTGTTTTCTTAGTTTTCTGAATATATATGGTCTTTACATAGAGTTTAGAGTCACAATAATATTAGGGTTACAAGTGTTTTGAGTTTAATTTGGAAATGAAATTTCGTAGTTTCAATGAAATTGGAATATGACCAGTAGCCTTCTTCGGTCGATCGAAGTGCTCTGTCCTTCCTTCTAGGATTAGAAATGTGGGAAAAGAAACTTCCAAGCACACTTTACATGCATTCTAAAAAGGATTTTAACGCATCAGATATGTAATTTTAAATTCCCTAATTACATGAATGCACATGAACATAAAACCTAATTTTGGTGAATGCATTATTAATAGTTGCAGTTACCTTTTTGTCCTTTGATGTAGCTGCAAATTCTGTTTTGCACTTGGACTGAGATAGCACAACTAATCTAACTAACTTTTGAAAATAGAACTCAAAAGCTAAAACAAAAGTATAAATTCCAAGTTTTGAGCGAAGTTTGCCAACCTAAGTATTTTATTTATTTTTATTTTTATGAGTAACAACCATATTGACCTAACATAGATGTTTTAAAAGGGGAAAAATATATATATATATCAAGAGAATAGTTCTATGATGAGTAACTCATAAGTAACCTATATCTATTTCATTCTCAAGGTGGCTTTCCTAAATTGGCAAAACAAATGAGCCAAACTGAAAAACCTACAAGACTTTTAATGAAATAGATACAAAGCTGTTATAACATCTAAGACTGAACTTAAATAACCATAATTTCCACAGTTTTTTTTTTCGATAACTACATAATTTCCACTGTTATAGACACTCTAACCACAAGATCCTTGTTTCTATACGTAAAAAAACCATTAATCCCTTGCAATTTAGCAATTAGAACCCAACGATCTAAAATGTCTGCTTCACCAAAGTGCTAGTGAGAGCAAGAGAGGGAACAAGAGTATATCTAAAAAAGAAATACACAAGATTCCAGAGCGTGTTTTTGCTCATTTGAGCTCATTATCTTTTATACTTTTCAATTTAATTTAAAATTTTGACTGCATATTACAACACACAATAAAATACACAATGCAAATGACACACTTCAACAAATGGTGTACGTGACTCACACCTACAATCTTAGTAAACTTTGTAACAGTAAAACAAGTGTCTTCGGACCAATTTTAAAAGAAAATTTTTTTGAATGGAGTTTAGCTAAAGCATATGTCTATATATTTTACTTGTAGATCTTTCTTCTTTTTTTTTAACGTCACCAATCACAAAGGCTAGATAGCAACTTTTACATGAATAGTGCATAGCTGCTTTATAATCTAAAGATTGCCGTTAATTAGGTGAAGCCTATGTTTTTCTACATGATTCGAGTGTCGTGAGTCTCATACTATAGATTGGCTATACAAAGCAATGGTGGTGGAATATAACCTCACAAACTAAATTTGTTTTGTGCTGATTATCAGCAGAAAATGCACATGAGATGAGTGGCTTTGGATCTTGTTGATAGCATCCATCAATGGGATGAATCAAAATGGTGGTGATGACAGCGCACAGACAATGTTGATGAGACATGCAATTCAGTGCTGCGGTTACCTCCTAGTGATATTTATGATTTTGGCAACGATGGTTACAATTGGCTGCAAGATAGTGGCTGCGGTTAACCAAGTGATATTTGTCGTTTTGGCAACGATGGTTACGATTGGCTGCAAGATGGTGGCAGTACTGGCATTGATTAGGTTTTACTAAAACAGTTTCAAAAAAGATAAGCAAGGTTTAGTAATAAAGATGAGGTCCATGAGTTAATCACTTGCTAATAAACAGAAGTTATATTTAAGAGTATGTCATATTGGAGAAAAACTGAACTTTGAGAACTTCATAATCACAATACCTGTTTTGCATCAATTTGTGGCTACCTATGTATCTGGACAGATTTTCCTCATCTCAAGCAAACAACTTTGCAATATCAAAGCTGTCACAGAAATTTTCCCCTTGCTCTATCAAGGTTGTAGCGAACTAGCCAACTGACTTAATTCTCCGGAGCACTAGCTAAGCTTATAGTATTACTTCAGGCACTAAACATATTTTCTGGTGCTTTTGGGTTTGCCACAAAAATAAGGTGTGCAGATTATAGTAATTACACAGGTTGACCGTTGATGCATGATGCATATTTAAAAATAGATAACATATTAAGAAACTTTCATTTATTGCACTTTGTAGGTATGCAGGCTATACTCTAGTTTGAGTCGTTTGACGTTTGAGCTTCCAAATGGATACAGCATAAGAAAAGTTGTCAAGCTAAATCAGCTGACATATTGCCTTTTGATTTCAGCAAAACTTCAAACAATCCCACAAATAAGAAGTACAGATAATCCGTATTCGTTAGCTATTTAAAATTGGAATGTAGAAGAGTTTCTCTAAACATTACATGCTCAAGCAGTAACTTTAAAATGTAAGCAAGGAACAAGATATTCTAGAAACCACTAGCAGTCATCTAAGTTGCCATTTTTCCCCAAATACACCCTCCAAGCAAAGTACTCAAACATTAAATTTACTTTTTTATGTGAGAAATATTTTTTGAAAAATGTTGGAAGATTTAAAATAATAAAAAGAAGGTATAAAACTACTAACCAACTGAGACCCCAATATCTGTGTCAGCAACCTGATTCTTGCGCAGCTTCCGCTCTAAATGTGCCGCAATCCATATAGTCCCAAGTGGCCCCTTCTTCGCTAATATGAACTGAGAATAAAACATCTCTCTTCCCCAACAATGAAGCGGAGTATTTCATACAAGGCACCCAAAATTCTGCTGCAAAAACCCCAACTTTTCCACTATCACTCGGACCTATATAAATATATTTGTATATACACCGTTAAATCTATCCACAAATAACAAAGAACCCCCAAATTGTCAGTAAATCCCAAACCCCCACAATTCACACCAATCCCCCAAATCCGCAGCTTTTAAAAAACTGAGCTTCAACTTCAATCAAAAGCTATTGATATATATATATATATATAAGGAAGCTTGAAAACCCATTTTCTGCAACAAACACGAAAACCCTAAATTGGTTTAACTACTCGCATCACCTTCAGTTTTAACATCCAAATACCATCAGAAATGACAAATTGAGAAACCCTGACTCGATAAAACTGAAAGAAGAAGCTTGAGTTCAGCAAAATTACCAAATTGACTGAAGCCTTCGTCGGAATCAAAAGCCCAGAAATGTTCTCGGACTCGTCTTTAGAAAGAAGACAACTTTCGAAGCCCTAATACGTAAACCACAGCTTTAGGGGTTCATTTGAAAAGCAAACAGAGCTTGCAAGCTTCAGGAGATCGAAGTCGAGCAGAGTTGACGCTTTTGTGTCAGTAAATATGTGTGTGTATATATTCTGTATGTATAGAGAGAGAAAGTAGAGAGATTCTGTCTTAAAACTGTATCACGGCTCCTTTTTTCAACTTGAGATCGAGAGAAGCGCCTTGTTTTTAAGATTTTGATTTTTCGAATTTGGGAATTATCGTCTGCTCACGTGCTGTACGGTGTGGCACTGAGATGTGACCGCTGATTGGTTTGAACTTGCTGTTGATCAGAACAACTGTCGAGTTCTATATCGTTTAATAATAACTTAATGATGACTAATGACCATCGAGTAGTTGATAATTTCTATCTTTAGCAACTGACTTGTTCTTCCCCCTTCTAAAAACATTACAGTACTATGTTTGTTAATTTTGGTCGTGTATTCATTTCAGTAAAAATGACAATTTTTTTTTTCCTTTATTTTATTTTTTTTTTTCTTAGTTTGGTACTCACACACACTTATCTTTTTTAAACCTTGAACAAATCTAACCTTCCTTTGAGAGATAAAAGACTGATAGTGCTAAACTACTGACGTGTTAGTAAAAATGACAAATTTTGAAAATTTATTATATTATTTTTTTCAAAAGCAAAATATGTTTGGTAACTTATGTTTGCTAAAGTGAAAATAACATCAGGTACAGAAATGAAAATGTAAAAATAACAAAATATATGCTAAAAATAAATAAATTATAAAAAATATAAGTCACATAAAGTAGAGTGAGAACAAAAACATGTGAAAGCTCCGCGCATAAAAGCTACTCTTATTTATAAGTATTGTATAATTTAAGTTGCACTTACACTCTCTCTATTTGATATCAACACATTTATTTAACCTTTAAAACAAGAGAGGTGCTATACCATTTAGAAAATTTGAAATTTGTACATCCATTGAAATATTGAATGTTTGAAGTGAGATACAGAATGTGTGAGTCCACCCTAACAACAAATAAAAAGTGATATTTAAATTTTAAAGTAATTGTGGATTTTTTACTTTATCAATATTTTAAAGGGCAAATTTCACGAAACTCCCACTATTATCATTTTTTTAATTAAATACCCCCAATCTATTTTAGAAAAACCTTAACACTATAAAATTTGATCACATTACACCAATTAAATGACGAAATTAATCTTCTGATATACCAAATGATTTAAAAAAACAAAAATCGGTATTTTACCAATTACAGAAATAGCCTTGGTGACATTTAACTCAGCAAAGTACAAAACGACCGCGTTTTGTGTGTGAACAAGTTTCATTTGGATGGATTGGTCAATTGTGTTGAGTGTACACAGCGGAATGGTTCTAGAATATAATATGGATAGATAATTTAGAGGATTGTAAATATATTTAACTTACTCTTTTATCCAATTTCTACTTATTTTAATTTTACCGAAATAAAACTAAAATCAAACCACAAAGCAAAAATAAAGTACAAGTAAAGTAAATAGAGTTTAGATATGACACCAGGATTTTATCGAGGAAACCCCAATTAGTATAATGGACCAATTGTAACAGAAAAAACCTCGTTGGACTCTCTAGTCCTGAGATAAACGATCCACTATGTTTGAAGCAAAGTATACCAAATTTTGACTCGGTCTCACACCCTATCGTTCTACCAAAAACCAATTGCTGACAATCCCTGGCTTTGCGACCTACCGTCCAACAACTCTCGACCTCAGGCTTACTCTTGATCTCTGTAGAAGAGTTGCAGGTAGATCAGATAACACTCCGCAAATGCTCTGACCCCTTCAAAGTGTGATCGCTTCACCCCGTTTCTTTTATATCTGAATTTGACGAAGAACAAATAAAATCTGCTTTTCCGGAATTTCTGAATCTTCAATTATGCTTCAATTCCGATGAGATAGAGAACAACACTACTAAATCACTCTTGTGTTTTTGTGTGTGCTCTCAAAAATAAAATTAGAAAATCAGATTGATTTTCTGAATAAAAAATATCACTCAAAAGGCTCTCAATTAAATCTAATTTTTTTATGTAAAAGCCACACCTAAACCTATGCGTATGACAAGGTTTATATAGAGTTGAGAATCTCTTAGTCTCTCTGAAAATATGAAAAAATTCGTGCATAGGACTTAGTACACTTCTAAACCAACTAGGAAAGAAATCAAGAAAAATGAAACTGAAGTTATGTTGTGAACGGGACTTCTTGAACCGGTTCAAGGGTGCTGAACCGGTTCAAAATTGATTGTGAGAATTCGAAGACAATCTTGAAGGCCTTGAACCCGTTCAATGGGGCTGAACCGGTTCAACTCTAGCAAACTTGAATTTTCGGTTCTGAAAGGCTAAAAATACTATTTTGGTAAGTTCTGAAAATATACCAAGTGTAAAATATGTCCTAACCTTTTAGATTCCTTCCTAAAATGTTGTTTTTATCTTTTTTCAAATGATCTCAGTCATGGTTACTTTGAAAAACCTTCCAAATCCGCAGTCGCTGTCGATGCCGATATAATACCTTAAAATTACAACTAGACAAGAATTTGTTTTGACACCGAAAGTTACCAATTACAGAATATATATTTTTTTACAATCTTCCCAAAATATATATATCTCACAAATTGCATTTGTGAACAGGTTGCACTTGAATGGATTGCTTTGTTACATTTATGAACAAGTTATTGTATGAAATGTTTCATTTAAAAATTTTGTATCTATGTTGTGAAAATGTCATTTAAACTACATATGTTAACATTCAAAGTACATAAAATAATTGTAATACAACCATCTTAAGATGAGAGTACATTAAGACCAGTCTTTCTTGAAATATACAAGCCACCTTCAACTCCTAAACAAGTTAAACAACACAAAACAACTTGCAGATCCTAAACCAAACACAAAAGCACAACTACACACCTACACCTCCTCAGACGAACACAAGAACCAACAACTAGGCTATTTTCCTCCCAAAGTTGACACAAAAGTAGCAATAGAAATGATGATATAGGCTACAACAAGTTTCTTCATCAATTGAAGACTTCCTTCGATGGCAGTTAATTTAGTCTTCAAGTAAGCAATATCAATTCTATGAACTTGTTGACCAACCTCAATCTTATTCCCATTTGCATTTGAAGTTCCTATTGAAATTGGTTTACACCATTCCCAAAATCCACATCTTCTATTTTGACATCTATAGTATAGCTTTCCCATATTGTCATATTCATCGGACCCTGTTACCAAAATTATAGCTATTTTTTGGCAACCACATTCAACATCGGTATACCTTAGATCAAGACTCCCATGTCGATTGCTTGAAGAAGGCATACTTTGATTAAAATCTACAAATCAAAACAAGATTTCATTTCAATAAAAAAAAAAAAAAAAAAAAACAAAACAAAACCAACTCACAACAATAATAATTCAATGGTGGTCATGGTTGGAAACTAAGGTAGAGATTGTATTTGCGATTTGGAAAAGAAAAAAAAATCACATAATTACCTTCAATTAGGACTAGGGTTTTGATTAGGGCTTTGGTATAAGGGTTTCAATTAGGGCTAGGGTAAGAGATTACAATTAGGGCTAGGGTAAGAGATTACAATTAGGGCAGCAAATTACATTCAATTAGGACACAAAGTTACCATCAAATAGGGCAGTAAATTACCTTCAATTAGGTCTTCAAAATCACTTCGACTGATCTTTAAATGGAGGAGAGAACGACGACTTCAGATTACTTCCTCAAAACCTTCCACCTATGAACTGCTTAAAGGATTTCTTAGAAAAAAGACTCTCAACTTGCGTTGTTCTTTCAACCCTCCTATACCTTCCTTTGTGGATCACAGTAGGCGTGAAATCACAACTCCAATGAAGCTTTGCATTTGAAAATAATGAAGCTTTGCATTTGAAGGGCGAAGGTGAGATGGAAGATAAGAGAGAAGGTAAGATGAAAGAGAAAGGCGAGGTGAATAATATATATACATATACATATAATATATACACAACGTGGTCGTTTTGTGCTTTGCTGAGTTAAATGTCACCAAGGCTATTTCTACAATTAGCAAAATACTAATTTTTGCTTTTTTAAATCATTTGGTATATCAGAAGGTTAGTTTCATCATTTAATCACATAATTGGTGCAATGTGATCAAATTTTATAGTGTTGGGGGTTTTCTAAAATAGGTTAGGGGTATTTGATAAAAAAAATGATAGTAGTGGGGGTTTCGTGTAATTTACCCTATTTTAAATTTATTGTGGAGAGTGAATGAAAATATTACATATTGCTAGTAAAAATATACCTTACTTTTAATAACTAATTTTTTAGGATTAATTACAATGACACCCCCTGAGGTTTGCCACAATGATAGTTATATATAAGTTATGCCTTTTTTAAATGATGACACTCCCTCAAGTTTGATAAAATTAACAAAGACACCCCCAATAGTCTTGACACATGATAAATTGACATTATTGCCCTTTGACACGTTAAATTACCAATTTAACCAATACAACTATTTTTAGTCAACTAAGATACCCTTAAAATTGAAACTACTTCACTCATAGTAATAAAACCAAGCACCAATCTCCAATTCACAACCAGTAACACCCACCACTTCACAACCCCACTTAGCCACCACCACCTATATTATTGAATTTTTGTATTTAGCATTTTATTTCTCTGTAAAGCCCTCTTTTGTTTTTTTTTTTTTTTCCCTATAAAAATATATACATCTTTATGTGTGTGTGTGTGTATCAATTGTATAGGTTCGCTTTGTGGATTTATATCTAAAAATTTAACTATCTCTTGAAAAAGGATTTGATTATACATAACATATACATGTTGGTGGCCATCTGACCATATATAAGTTTGTGTGTGTGTGTATATATATGTGTGTGGTATGAAGGGAGAAAATATTTGATTATACATACCATATATATGATGGTGGCCATCAGACCATATGGTCCATACACACATGCGCGCGCATATATATATGTGTATGTATGTGGTATGTATATATACATACCATTGTCTAGGTTTGCATTCAAACCCTAATTGATTGGTGGCGACCAATAACCACTAAAAGACCTTTATAACTTAATTCGTGTGCCATCTTATCAACATTGTTGGCATTGGAACCGAAAGAATTAACAAGACTGGCGAA